TCTTAACCGGAGCCTGAGCGGCACCCTTGCAGCACCTCTTCCAGAAGAAGACGAAGAAGAGGGTGAGACTGTTCACGGCAGGAAGCGAGCAATAAGCAAGACGGGAAGCCAAAAGGGCGTGGAAGAAGATGAGGATAGGATCGACGCAAGGAATGCCGCAAGCCGGCTGGCCACTACAACATTCTAGCCGGTGGGACTGAGAAGTTATGAGGCACGCTGCATCCAAAGTATGCTGTGCGCAAGCACACGGAGCGTACACAACGATCATCGCACAGAGAGACTAAGATGAGGCACACGCCTCAATTCAGAAGTATCGTGATGATGTGGCAAGCATACATCTTTGGATGCACGTGCACGATGCATGATACCCTTCGATGCTACCCGTAGCTTTGAACAATTGTGCCCTCTTTGTACATAGACAAACCCAAATCTGTATTCTCCATACAGGTACTGATGCGTGTCCTCACCATGGCTGCGTTGGAAACCGCTGCGCTGTCGCGCCTGCCCAAAATGCTCGTGGAACTGTCGCTATCACGACGGAGAAGGCACTGCATCCCCAATTTATCCTCTTCCTCCTATTCCGTGACCGTTACTTCGGATCCTTTCCCAACATCCAAGTCTCAACGCACAGCAATCACGAGTAGCACTGACTCGTGACCTGCAACATTATCACGGGAGACTTGTCGACAAGCGCGGGTCCGGCACTTCGTTGAACAAGTACCTGGACGGCTTCGTACCAGTTGACGACTCTGCAAGATACGGCCCAGGCTCGGCAATGGTACATATATTAACCGGCCCCTAGCCCAGATCGATGGGCGCCCGAGGCGTCCGGGTGGCAATGTGCACCCTGATCTACTTTTGGTGCATCATTTGATCAGAGGGGATTGCGTGCCAACCTGGCCAGCAATCTATACAGCGTGGCACCCAAATCAAAAAGTGCGGAGTGGGATGGGGCTTGGATATTGCATCGACCATCCTCGCTGCCCCGGGACAATATGCACCGTCCAAGCGCGTTTGTCTGCAGGGGGACTGGCAGTGGAGGCACCGCGTCCAGTGGCGTGCTGCACACCCGCTGGGTGAGCTTCTGGAACTTGCGTCTGCGGTTGCGCTCCATTCTTCCACAGCTTCTGTTAGAGCGAGCGGGCATCCTGCAGCAGCCTCCCCAGCCGACCCCAGGTCAACATTGGAATATCCCAACCTGCACCACATTGCCTTGGGCCTTACATATGGCAAAGAGCATCTCCGCCTCAGCAACATCGATAACGAACGGTCGGTGCCGGCAGTCGTCCTGCTGGGACAGGCTCCATACATCCTGAGAGACGATCCCCCGCAAACTGCCACACGACAATATCGGACCGGAAAGCCTACGTGCGGCGGGAGACTAGCAGGGGTGTGCACCTTCCATCTGACTGCGCAAGACACGAAATCTCGCGTGGATGGGCACGCTGCATCTGCTGATGCGACCGTTCTCGCGTTGCTGTGCCACTAGCCTGCCTTCGAGCTTGCATGCTACGCCTGTGGCCTGTGGTCGAGGTTCTTCCGAGGCAGCAAGGAGAACCCGGTCGCCCACGTCAAAAGTTCCAAAGTGAAAGACTAGTTACCATTGGTACGGCAGGAAACAGGTACCCGACAAGCAGATCAAGATTAAACAGCATCATGCGCCATGCGTTATGTGCAACGGGATATCGCTCTCCACCTTGAAACATGTGGTTGATCCCGCGAGCCATCAGCAAGGCGAGGCAACATGGTGTGAAGCACACACAGTGCACCCACAATCTCGACCAGGATTGGAGGAAAGCAGGGCAGCAAGCATGTGAGCACCCACACTTTTCTGCTCATCCTTGCAGTAAGCGAGTCTAGGAGCCGTTAACAGCTCCGTGCGGGCCTATGTGCCGGGTAAAGTGCTTTGGTCGCCTCAGCTTGACCATACAGCAATTGTTCTTAATGCTGTCTCTGCGAATGGGAGGTTCGATGTAGGCAAAATACTGTCACGTCTTTCCTCGATTGGCGAGACTGCAACCCACCAAAGGCAGTGCCTTACGTGCATTATGGCCGCTATGGGCAAGGATACTCGGTAGCAACCATGCGCAGTGGTCGAGTTCTGGATGGAGGATCTTACGGCGCAGCCACCGTCTTGCATCTGGACAACCTCGGAGATAATATGGCCAGTCTCTTTTAATCTGGTATGACCCGGACCTGCGCATACACTTTTGGCCGCCTTCCACTTCCTCTGTGCACATAGGATTCTCGTCCGAAATCCAGCAACTGCATGCTCTGGTTTGCTTGCCTCCCAAGCATTTTAACCGCCAGCCCCGCAACCTGCCGTACCCTGGTCTTCCCCACGAATTCGAGATCTGGAGAGTGAGCAGCACGTGGACAGTCAGGAGAGCAAAGCACATCCACGAACAACATGCGCAAGGCATCAAAATTCTTCAGGAAGGCGCTTTCTCCGAACACGGACTCGCCGCCACCGAAAGGTTTTGTCGAGAAGGTGCAGGCCTCACGGAAACTGTCGTTCACTTCGTCGTATGATGGAGGGATGGGGATGCCGGATTTCGACCCGCTTGTCGTGTCAGCATTCGAGCTGTCGGAGTTGTTAAATGCGCAAGCTATAACAAGCGTCGAGATTGTGGAGATATATCTGCATCAGATCGAACAACACAACCGGAGAGGCCGACAGCTCCGGGCATTGATTTCAGTGGCTCCCAAACATGAGCTGATAAAGATTGCCAGAAAACTAGACGAGGAAAGGTTGCGTGGGAAAGTAAGGGGACCGCTGCATGGGATACCGATAGTCTTAAAGGACAACATTATGACTGACGAGAAACTGGGCATGGACACTACAGTCGGTATGGAGTATGATTTACCTGAGATCTCTGGCGATTAACAAGTGATAGGATCATACGCATTTGTCGGCTGCACACCGAAGAGGAGCGCTACCATTGTACAAAGATTGATTAAGCGCGGCATGATTGTGATTGGTAAAGCAAATCTCACGGAATTCTGCGGCTTGAAGAACCCTTCAATGCCTCCGGGCTGGTCAGCGGTGGGCGGTCAATGTCAGTCACCGTATGTGTCGAGGCACATTGCGAAGAAAAAGTTGCATTGGGAGCTGTCAGCGCCAGGTGGCTCCTCGACTGGCTCGGCGGTCGCTGTGGCTTCAGGATTTAGCACGCTCGCGATCGGAACGGACACGATAGGCTCACTCATCACACCGGCAAATCGTGCAGCATTGTATGCGTTGAAGCCAACTGTTGGCCAAGTTCCAATGGACGGGATATTCAACTTGAGCAAAACATTCGACGCAGTTGGCGGCATGGCTAAATCCGCGAAAGATCTCGTGGCGCTTATGGACGCAATGATGGTGCCCACCAACCGCGAAACCGACGAAGTAGCGCCACACCGATCCTTCAAGATCAAATCGAACTTCGGAAACCTGAGGATTGGTTTCGTTGAGCCCACTATCTGGAAAACGTGGCGCAAAGGCGGTCGGATCAATGTTGACGCGGAGCGGTTCATGGTAAGTCTGACCCAGGAAGCGGAATCTGCCTTTCTGTGTACACCCACCCGCATACAAGCGGGGCCAGGTGCATCATATTCTGCAGGGGTCCGTGTAGTACTGAGGATGCAAAGCTGACTGGTCACAGCTTCAAAAGTACGACATGGTAGTGCAAAGTATGATCGAGATGGGGGTTGATATCGTTTACCCTATTGAGCTGCCTAGTCAGGCCAGTCTGACACTTAACGGGCAGAACTGCTTCGAGCCTATTGTTTGTAAGCTTTCATAAACCTCGTGTGCCTGAACTGGTCATGCTGATCAAGTTGTAGATGCTGAGTTCAAGGATTGTCTGACTGAGTTTATACGCGACTTCAAAACAACCAAGATGCACTCTCTTTCTGAGATCATCAACTTCAATCTCGAGCATCCCGAGCTTTGCCTGCCACCTTGTGAGTCCTTCACAATCGATTCGATTCATAGTAATTGCTAATCTCACATAGCATGTCCCGACCAAAACGACCTCATGGCTGCCCTGCAAAGCTCCGCCAAACGCGATGAAATCAATGCTGCACGCCAACACCTCCAGACCGCAGGCGGTCCAGACGGTCTCGACTACCTCTTCACTTCTCAACAACTCGACATCATCATCGCCCCCGGCGACGCTCCACTTTCTTCCATTGCTGCAGCAGCCGGTTATCCCACCGCCGCATGCCCATTATCCGCACTCAAACTCAACGGCCAACCGTTCGGGCTCACACTCGCATCGCGCCCGCACACAGAACACACATTACTGCACTTCCTTACTGCCTACGAACACATTTTCCCACCGCGCGCATTGCCGTTACCATTATCTTCTGTGCCGCTGCAGGATGCAAACATTGCGCCGCTTCCCGATCAGCCGATTGTTGATCTGATTTTACATGAATGGGACACGAGGAGGTTTAGCTGTTCGGCAGATGCACTGGCGGATTGGTTGAATGCGCGATGGCGTAAGAGCGGATATGAATTGAGCGCCGAGACAATCTGCGAAGTCTTGAGGAGTAATGGGCGGATTGCGTTCAGAGGACTCGGAGATGATGCTGAGGGTGCGTTTTCAAGGTGATGCGAATCAACCGTCACACGTGGCGAGTGGAGGGGAACTGGGGGCGTTTGACAAGGTGGGGCGATGAACATGCTGTACTTCAGCAAAGGAGGGTTTTTCATTTTCATTCAGCATGGCGCTTCCTTGTTTAATTTTGGTTGGTCCGGCTGGATCACCGGTTTTGGTGTTGGTGTTGCATATGATATCCACTCACTGTCCATAGTCGCAAGTCTGACTCATAAGTTAGCTCATTCCAACGTAGCAGAAATTTTCTTTCACACCCTTGCTGCTCGCGCAACGTCATTGCCCACTATTGTCTCATCTAACTGCGCAAACTCCCGAGGACGAACAGCACCGCTAGAATTATAATGAGGATATATTTTGTCTAATTTATGAAAGTGACATCCAATCAGATAACAAAGCTGCTTGGCGCAGCGGAAGCGCGCCGGTAAGATACCACCTACAACATCATTGGTTGGGAAACATGTCACTAACATATCATCAGGGCTCATAACCCGGAGGACGCTCGATCGAAACGAGCAGCAGCTATATCTGATTCTTTTTTGCCTTTTTTGGGCCTTTTTTAGCATTCGGATTGTGTGAATGTGGTTTAGCCGAGACGTCACTCGAGCTGTTTGAACCTTTTTGCTTGATTTTTGGAGTTCGCTGTGCTTTACTTCTGGGTATGGGTGTGCTTCATGATAGTCGGATGATGCTCACGATGTATTTTACAATATGATGTTTTCCACTTCATTCCTCTCTACGCATACAGTGAATTATCATAAGTTACATGTTTGCCAAGTGCATCAACCTGAATATCACCACTTCGAGGATTAGTCTTCAGACAGTCGCACAGGCATATACAGCTCCACGACCATGACGGCTCCGCCTAACTCGGCATATTTGCAAGGCCTACTCAGCCTCACGAGCATTCGCCATGCCTCCTCGCCCACTCTATCGGACTCCTTGCACTGCTCCCCTTGTGTGCGCATCAATTTCTTCACAAATTCCTCGGCCCACACAACCCAGCCCTCTCAACCACCAACTCAAACTTATCCGACCCCAGTCCTGCGCCATTGAATTCGGACCTCCAACACTCTTCATCGCCCAGATCTCTGACCTTATCATGCAACTCCTTCAACTGCTTTTCCTGCCAAATCCTCTCCAGCTCGTTGGGCTGCGGTTTGAGACTCATTTCGATCTGGACATCGCGAGCCACGCGATTGGCGGCATCGAGGGTGGTGTAGCATTCTGTGCGTGGGAGAGGATGGTACATGCGCTTTGATGTGTAATTTCCAGGATCGGGTGTGTCGGGGCCATCGTCGGTCTCAGTTTCGACTTCGGCTTCGGTGTCGGGTTTGAGGAGCTTGAATAGGCGGAGGATGTAGACTGTTTTCGCGATGAATGGCGCGTACGGTAGGTCTGCGGGCTTGACGCCAGCATAGGCACTGACGTAGTCGCGCTTTACCCAGACTTTCACCAAGGACTTCTTGCTCGGGATGTCGATGGGTGCGAAAGTGCTCGTGAGAACGCTGCAGCCATGGCCGTCTTTCTCATTCTTCCACCCTGTAAAATGGACTTGGAAATGCTGCTGGTACTGTTCGCGGAGACTGGTGGAGTGTGTCTCTGCTTGTGTATTGGCTTCTTCGACACACGTGAACGACCGCGAACACTCAATTGTTGAAGCAGAAGTTGCGGAAGCCGATTCAGACCAGATCTTTTGGAAGATGGTGTATTGAAAGAAATGCTCAGCGCCTGCGGCAGGGTTGGGCGACGTAGTGAGCAGGAGAATGGGGAGATCTTGCTTTTCGATCGGATCTGCATACTGATCTGTTCTGGTCTCTTGGAGCTTAAAAACATGTGAAGCTGTGTCGGGCCGCGTGGTTTGATTCAGTGCGCAAGTCGCCGGAATAATGCTCTCGTTATTGAGCTGCACTGGCTCGGGTAGTGGAGACCCAATAAGTAGCTGATTATCTGCCTGAACAATTGAGTCTGGTGCCTGTTGACTCTGCGCGGGTCGCTCTAGTTCGTTCGCATAAGGGTCCAGATCTTCTTCTCGAGTAGCTTCAGCAGGCTGTCGTTGTTCTTTATCTTTCTTCTGCTCCTCTTGTGCCTGATCTGTACCTAGTACTGAACTGGCTGCATTTGGTTGCACTAGTCCAGTAAGATTGTTTGTTTTTGCGGCACTGCCGGGGACTGGGTGGGAGGATCCGTTGGCAGATGGTACAATCTGATCGTCGGCTGGGATTGTCTTTGACGTCAAGTTAGGTACTGATTCGGCAGCCTGCGCACTTTGCCTGATGGAGATATTATTTGTGTGATTTCCACCTAAGTTTCCCTTGTTGACACGTTCTGGATCTTCACGGTGGTCTCCCACCTCGGTCGTCAGTTTTGGAAGGCCACTCATATGGTCTTGCTTTGAGGACGATACCTCTGCGTGCTTGTCCCCTGTTAACGACTGCATAGGGGTTTGATGTAAGTCTTGATGCTTCGGCGCGCCGAAAGATGGGTAGACTTTAGCAGGTGCAGCTTCGGCTGGAGTGGGCTGCACTTTCTTGGTAGCATTTTCGACGGACACTGCTAACCTGGGTGAGGCGTTCGAGTTGGCCTGTTGAAATTGGGCATGCTTACCTGCAGAAGATTTTCGACCTTGCAAATTATTGTTTGGAATGGCTTTCGCTGCTTTGCTTTGTTCGATCGCGGTTGCAGACTTCACACCGACTTGCTGCGTCTCCCGCCTATGACTAGGCAGGTCCGTGGATTTCGCTGGTGTTGTGGTCTTGACCTGTTCTGACACATATATTATTGGAAGATTGCGTGTGGGACCGCTGCGAGGCACTGATTTTGTAGCCAAAGGCAATCTGTGGCGTGTAGTGGTGGCTGCAGGACCCGTAGTTGTCGCTGAGGATCGGCCCAAACTCAAGTTACTGTCTGCTTTGGGCCGGGGATTAGATCCTTCAATGATGGCAGAATCGATGACCTCGTTTGATGAAGGGACTGGAGCTCTGAGCTTGTCCAGGTTGGCCGCATGTACTCCAGGACGCGGCCCACCCGACAGTCTTGACTTGGACGCGATCGATTCGGCACTTTGATCTCGAGATCGAAGGATATCTGAGCTGGAACGAGGGCCTAAGTACGTCGTACTTGGATGCCTCTTTTCTGCGGTATGGGTCGTGTTCAAGTCCGCTTGCCTTTCCGCATCACCCAGTTTGGCTTGCGCTGCATCCTTGTGAGCATTAGACGTAGCATGCTTCTCGGCCTGGATCCGGTGCAAAGAAAGAGCCTGAGGACTTGCTGAGTTTACTTGAGACTTTACTGGAGACCGAGTGGCTGTCTTGGGGAGGCCCATGGTAGGGACAGAAGCGACTAGCACGGGTTTTCCCTTTGCATTGCGAACTTCTTCGCTTTGGCGAATGCCCTGTAGTAAACCACCCACTAATGCCGGATTGCTCGACGTACTAGAAATAGGGCTAGCAGCGGATGGTCTCGCGAGTGTAGACAAATCGACTGAATTTCCTGCTTCATGCCGGGCAGAGGTGGGCTTCGTTTCCAGCTGAGTCGATTGGCGTCGGAAATTTGCCGCAAGCTGAGTATTCCTACTTTCTGGACGGGTTACGGCCACTGGTGTGGCTGCGAGTTTGTTTGGTGTATATGGTTTGGACTTCAAAGGACTGGCAGGTCGTGGCCCTGGACTTGCATGCATAGAGCCAGTATGTGTGAAAGTACCTGTGGATTTACTCAGTGAATGTAGCTCTGATCCGTCAGCCGCCGTGGGAGACATCGTCGTTCGGCGCGTTGTTGAAGCACTATTGAGAGGTCGTTGAAGTGTCGTGAAACTCACGTCAGGCTCAATTGTCATCGGCCTTGAGACTTGCTTTGCGCGAGCAATGGGTGTTTTGCCGAAGGATTTGTTTGGTGTGCGCTCCTCAGGGGTTAATTTGAGTAACATGCGCATTCGAGCCAACTTGAGCGATTTATTAGCTGGCTTTGGAGCAGGACGCAAACCAGCGGTTCGCTGGTCAAGCGAAATTTGTCTGGCTGGACGCGGCGGAGTTTCTGGTATAGACTTCTGGTCGTGTGCTTCGTCCTCATTCTTGCTGATATGCTTGTTATTCGGGACTTCGCACACGCTCTCGTTGTCTTCCGACCCATCAGACTCATCAATAAATCCGCCCAGAATTTTCGGTCGCTTGAACGCTTTCCTCGGAGTTGCTTGGGATGCGGCCGGCCTTTTCGCCGGTTTGCCTTTGATCCTGGCTTCCATGCTAGTGAGTGAGTGCGGAGTCTTGGAACTACCTTTGCGCCACGCCTCCGAACTCTTCGGATTGTAGTCGAGCACACGTGTATCCAGAAAGACTTCGGAAGATCGACACCTTTTTTGTAAGGTTGTTGGCAGCTCGCGGTGCTGTTTCTTGTCGTTGAGGAGCTGCTCGTGGCCGCGCTGTTCAACGTCGCCTTCACTTTCGCTGTGAGCAAACTCGGCCGACCTGAATTTGCCAGGAGGCCGTCTTCCACCAGACTTGCCGGTTCTTGGTGTCTTTGACACTTCACTTGCTTCCTTTCGATCGAATGAACGACTAGCGCCGACGCCGTCAGCTCGGGGCTCTTCTTTGCTGGATAAGTGCCCGGGTAGCGAACGAAGCGAGTTTGAGTTATGAGCAAAGCTTTGTGCAGATTTCAAAGGTGTTTTGTGCTTCAAGACTGTGGACACCGTGGCGTGTAAGTGAGACTTGCCGGTGTCGGTGCTGGTGAGGTGAGAGTGCGCATGACCGGAGCCTCCAGTTATGGAGCTTATCTTGCACGTAATAGAGGTGCCTGCTATTACTGTTGGCGAGTCTTGGTCGGCCTGATTGTCCGCTTGTTCTAGAGTGCCGTAGCAAAGGCCCAATTCAAGCCAATTGGGATCCAAAATCCAAAGATCTTGTGTCCAATTATCTTCTCCTTCTGGACACCCAGGCTCCTCGGCTGTGTCTACCTCAGCGCCGATTTGGGGTTCTTGGTTGTACGTGAATGCGCAGACTTGTTCGCTCGTCGAGGCATCGGAGAAGCTGTCGAGCTTATGGGAGATTACAATTCCGTCTTCGGCGCGTTCGCTCTCTCCGAGTTCGCGCGCCTGCATCAGCTCAGGCGGAGGTGTGCAGAACAACGGAGAGCCTCGTCCATGATTAGACTCATATTCTATAGCGCCAGGTTCGGACATATGACAAGCGGTCTGCCAGCTCAAAAAGGAGCCTACATCAAGGTATGGATGGATTGGACGACTGTTGGAGACATAGCGAAAAGGCCAGGCAACAGGGAAGGTCAACAACTACAAACGCTGGCGGAATTCAAGAGCTCGATGCCTGACAAGCGAATCATGAGACATAATCAGCGCTGCGTTTGGCTAAGGATCCAGAGAAGCACAGCATCGTCGCTAGACAACAACGACAAGTCATACCTCACGATCAACTTCATTTTGCTGCACGCAGTATCCGTGTATATTATTACACCGCATGGCGTAGGGAGACGCAACAGGTCCCGCGCGGACCTGTCGAGCAAACGAAATGGCG